TTGTCCACTTTTGGTTTAATACAATTATCCACAAGCCGGTTGTTTTAATTTCATACCTTTTTGTGTTTGGTGCACAACCGTACCCTATAGAGAATAGGAATAAAATAAGTCGAATCAAATTCATAAAGAGCTATAAAATGTTAGGTTTAGTGGAATATAATGAGCAAGTGAAGACGTTATTAGAAAATGTATGAGATGAGACATTGTTAAGTGATATTCGAAGATATGACAAAGGAAAGCATGTCAATTTATAAGATGCCCCATAAATCTGTGCAGAGCCCACGTGGTGGCATCTCAGCAATAGACTGACCGAATGGTATATGTTTAAAGGTAGAAGCATGATCTGTCCAGGCGATCATTATTATCTTATTCAAGATAAAGATTCAAGCCCTCATAGAAATCTCGAGCCAACAAATTGCATATTGCTGTTCCTGCAGAATGGGGCGATTCACCTTAGTGTCCACCACCATATCTACTTATCAGCATGCGCCACCCTCCCTCCTTTTATGATGCTAGGCTCTGATTGTTACGGCTACAGCAAATATATTGCTTGATTCCAGACACGTTCGTACCTCACATTCCATTTGCCTAGCTTTCTTAGTGAGTGCTTCCAATAGATCTCCACATACAGATTTATGAACATATTATATATGTGTGCATGCGTCCTAATGAACAGATTAGTTTATAAGATGTTAAACCCTTAAAGAGTAAAAAGAATAGGTTTTGGGAATAGTGGAGCAAGATTCATCAGAACACTATAGTTAGAGTTCAATGTAGGTAGTATGAACTGGAGGTAAGGTCGGTTGGCAGGACTTATTGTACTAAATTGTCATGACAGTCTTTTATATAGTAAACATTTGACATTGCAAAGTAACCAGTCTACACATATTATAAAACGATATTAACACAGAACCAACAGAATTTTAACATTTGGTTAACAATACCGCAGTGTGTGTATCCTGAAGAAGGGTAGTTAGTCTTACAGGGAGCCGTAAAGTAAATCAAAGTATATATGATAAGAGTGTAATCAATATTATAATTCGTAACAGCTTTCATGACAAGTGCTTCCCATTAGGTCATATGGCACAATAATACCAGAGGACGTTGTTAGCAGTATTATCATCATACTTGTGAACAAGTGGGTTACTACAAAAGACTAAGAAGTTAGGTTTCCCTTAAGAGTTATGAAGTATAAAAATAGCTAATATTAGAGCAACTAAGTTATATTCTATTTAGCAGAGTGATATGAGTAGTGGAACAATTAGTGATAAAATTATGTATAATGATCCTGAAGAATACAGCCGGCTAACAGAGCTAGTTATGCTAAATTTTCATGACCGATTTTCATACCGTGCGCATTAGATATTGCAAAGTAACCCTTCAACTTATATAATGTTAAAAATACTGCGAAATATTATAAAGATTATACGTTTTAGGAAGGTGTATTAGAAAAGGTGGTTATTGGCTGAGTAAAGTCATTCAGACACAACAAATAGCATTGTATTATTAACTGTATATACATATGTAAAATATTAAAAGATGTGGTTGCTAATATAATTGTTTCTAGAAGTACTTATATTAACATAACTTACTGAAGACTAAACAGAAAGGAAAATCAGTAAATTAGTTAAACGTTCGCTGCGTAAGTAGTAGAGTCGAGTTATATGTAACTGACTGAGCTGAAGACTGGACCGGCTTTTACTTACCATTTTACCAACATTTGTGGTCCTCTAGACAAGCTAGGGTGGACATGTTAATGTGTCTCTCTAGGCTCCGTTTGAACCCATTGGGGTTTTCACAACATCTAATTTCAGATGGTAGTTGGTTCCAAAGAGTGCAATATTTAATGGTGAAAAAGTTTGCCCTAATGGATTTTCTGTGGGTAGCCACGTTATGGATGAGTTACTATAACAGTGTTTCCTAATGACTTTGAATAGTAGAAATAAGTTGCACTTCACTCTCCTTAACCACGGAGGTTCTAAATTCAGACGCATACACCTGTCAACATATTCCACTGGTTGGTCAAACCCTATTATGCGTTTCGTTAGGAATCTCTGAACACTTTCGATTTTTTTTCGGTCTGCAGACCTTAGGTTACTATACAGGAGAGCACAATATTCAAGTTTGGGGCGGATACACGTTATATATATAGCTAATCTTGCTTCTTGGGTGTAGAAGTTACGCAGTAGAAAGCCAATAAGTCGTTTACAGTCGGATGCAACATTATTTGCATGATCGGAAAAGGTTAGATCTGAGTATGTTATCCCGAGATCTGTGACAGTGTTCAGTTTCGAGAGGAGCTTACCGTACATATATAGGCACATTCTCGGTTTCCAGCGTCCCAGGTGGGCTATACCGCACTTGTCTGGGTTGAAGGTCAGTTGCCACTTTTCGCTCCAATCGCTTAGATTGTTTAAGTCATGTTGGATTTTGCTTTCGACGCTCTTATCATCGTACCCGTAATCATATACTATCTTGAGATCATCTGCAAAGAGGTATGGCTTGCCATACTTGATCATAGAGACTATGTCATTTATAAATAAGAGAAAGAGAATAGGGCCAAGAACGCTACACTGTATTACACCAATAGTTATCGGCTTTCAACTTTCATCCAGGATTCGTCGCCAAGGAAGATAATGACTAATTCACGAGGCAGTTTTAGGATATGGTAACAGTAGTGTTGGCAGATCATTTGTCGTTGTAAGTGGTCAAATATCTACATTCTTTATTCTTATTAAGAATGTCAAATAGGAGTTAACCGGTGAGAGAAAAACGAAGACAAAGGACATCAGCACAGAAGGAAGCAGATGGAGTCCTTAAGGAGTGATTTATGAATGTATATATATTATGTGTAGAATCTATGAATATACTGATACACCAACTAACTAGTCCTGATAGGCTTTTATATTGTGTGTGAACTAACACTAATGGCCTGTGTGGACATGTTTTTTATGTCCTTTCAATAAGATTAACAGTTGTTATTGTAGTTTATTGTAACTTATACGCTTTGTGAGCTTATAATATCTATGTACAATGAGACAGAATGTGTTGGAGTAAGACGCAGAAGAGCATTGTCATCGTTGAGTAGTCTGGTTACTGAGAAGATGGTCACTGTAAGTGTGTTGGAACCACGCATATTAGCTGATAGTCTATTACAAATGATTGAAAACTTATTTAAGAAGTTAATAATATATATGTGATATATTCTCACTTTATGTACCTGAGGGAAGCCAGTTTATAGGCATAATAATTTTTAATATAGTCCTGGGCATCAGTGTTGTCTGAATTTTGCGAAAACGCGCGTGACAACTGAAGGCTGCGTTACACTAATACGCGCTCTGTTTGAAGGAGGGAGTGATTTTTCCGTAATTGACAAATCGCTGTTTTTGTTGTGTTATTCACTTCAAGAACATTTTTTAAAACTTTAACTCAACCTTTGTCTGTTAAGTTTTGATTTTAAACACTTATATAGTATATATTCTCGTGGGATGTATATGTATATATATATTTTTTATTCCTTCACGTTCCCAGTGGAACATAGGGCTTCAAGCTGGAGGCTTGAAGTTTCTGTAGCAGTGTTTATTTTTACAGGATGAGGTTGCTAGCCTCATTCCCAACCTCTCCTCTTTTTACCAGCGTTATTTCTGGTTTAGCGAGGCAAAGGAGTGCGTCGGCCGGGGATCGAACCCCGGACCATGTGCATGGTCGGCGAGCGTCATAACCGCTGTGCCACCGACGCACACGTGGGATGTATATACAGACCCCCTAATAGCTCTGAATTCAGTCATTTCGAAATGACTGATATAACTATTGGAGAAATACTAGAGCATGTAGCCTTGCTGGAATTTGACTACAAAGCAGTCTGTGGCGATTTCAACTAACCTGGAGTAAACTGGGATACCTGTACAGGACCTAGAATCCAGGACGAGCTACTACAAGCTATAGACGTAGGCGGATGGAAGCAGTCCCAGGTAGCATATTCTTCGGGGGCATTGCAGACTTTTCGGGGCAAAAAACTTTGGGCGCATTGTCTTTCTTGAGTATTCGTCCTGAAGACTGCACCAAAACGTCTGCAATGCGCCCGAAGTCTGTCCCAATAAGTCTGCAATGCTCCCGAGGTCTGCCCCAATAAGTGCAATGCGCCCGAAGTCAGCCCCAAAAAGTCTGCAATGCACCCGAAGTCTGCCCCAATTAGTCTGCAATGCGCCCTAAGTCTGCCCCAAAAAGTCTGCTATGCGCCCTAAGTTACTATTATACACTACAGCCTGGTGCACCGCGCCTACGGTTCCGCATTTAACCCGCAGTCGACAACTAACACTACGTCAATTCTATTACGTACACAGGTCGCTGCTTCAATAAACAGCAAGTTAGCAGCAGCTCAACGATTCACGATATAAGAAAACAGTGGATTTTAATTAGAAATACATTTAACAACATTTTACAAGGAATTTACAATCTTTCGACAAGTCAAATAAGTAAAACATCTTATAAATCAGCCGAAAAAGTCATCCGTGTGCTTTCAGCGTCCGGGATGTTCTCTTTGTTGGTATCGACGGTCATCTGAAAATGGAAGTTTGAAAAATAAATACCTACCAAAGGTGAACGCCGTCGCTTTCTTATCCTCGTCTTCAGTCTGTCTCGACTGTTATCGAACCAACGTTGAATGGCAGTCATGACAGCTTTCACTGTGCTATGTCGGTCAGCGGTACCTACTTGGTGTGAACCATTAATAGTTCCTAGAGAAGCAACAATTAAAAAAACAATCACCTACGTATCACAAGGGTACACGTCCTCGTATCCTTGAATTGTTTTTTTTCTGTTTAGTACCAGCCCATGAAAAATGTGTGCTGTAGTTGGGCTCCAGCAACACATTCATTATGCGACCAACGGATGTTTGCACATTGCTGTCTACTAAAGTTGTCAGCTCCGATGACACAGCAAGACGATATTCGTCGTCTGACAGTTTGGCCTCAAACGCAGACATGACGCTGTCGCTGTCCAACTGCCATCTGCCACAAGTCTTCAAAGCCTGAACAGCATTGATACAGGAGATATTGCTGTCCATGCTGTCGACCACTTTCAGTTGCGAGAGTTTAGCCTCAAGTGCTGAGAAACGTGACTCCACTTGTGACTGGAAGGAGGATTGGCTTGACCGTAAAGCCCTTAGCTCTTCCAAACAACCACATGTGCAAGCACCTGACTTCTCATTCTTCGTGCACCTGCAAGTAATATTTTTAAATGAAATTGAACTTACATGTCCATGGGGACAGGAATGTTGGCTTTTGAAGTTGAAGGAACACACAACAAACTGAAATGAAAAGTAATGAAAAAGTAAACTGTATTATACCTCTCATTTATTGCCACAGTGGATGGCTTTCGGAAAGCAGGTGTCTCCAACTGAAATTGTGGGTCAGCCAACAACCGAGATGGGTAGTTCAAGGGAGCAGCGTTCTCCAAAACTTTTTTTGTTGGTTTGGTAACACTGGGAAGATCAGTCAGGAATCATAGCTTACCGGTTTACCCTGCCTTGGCTTGCAGGCTCAGTATCCTCAGATGAGGAGTCCATATTTCTTGTTTGTGAACCTTCAATAAAAGTTTTCAATGTAACTGCCTGCTCGAAATCATCTGAAAAGGAACATTATTAAAAATATGACGTTACTGAATTGTGCCAAAAGATTGAACTTGTAAGGCGTGGAACCTTCATCAACCTCTGCATGTCCCCTGACATCTGCACACGAATACGACTTTGGGAGCGTCAAGACCTTTCCAAGCACCCACTCCTCGCTAACAATCAAGACATCATTCAGGGCAGGTACATTGACTAACAGGAATTGCTTAGTCATCTACAAATAGTGTACGACTATTACATACGAAAATAGGTACATAGAAAGAAGGGAAGTCTTGCAAGACGTATATTGATATAAGTGTGCGTATTATAATCTAATCAAGTGAATAAAAAAGTAAACTCACTGTTTGCTTGTATCCTTGATAGGGGTTAACTGTGGCTCACTGTAAACTGCAGTACTAAGTAAATCACGACAGTTTAGAGGTGTGCAATATAGAAATTAAAACGGAGTTATGCAAAAGACTTAAGCTAATGCACTTCGTCCGAGTTTCACTGAAAGTCCTAATACTTGTCTCACCCTCCAAGTTGTCTACCTGATATATTCCAATATCCCTAGAATCCAGTGGGTGTTCAAAATAACTCTGGGGTTTCTTATAAGCTCGAAATCGGAAATGAGTTTCGCTTACAATTTCAGAAACAACTCCAGGTATATTGTCTACCACAAAGGAATTGTTGGGGGAAAATGAGCTTACTTTAAAAGTGGAAAAAGTTGCAGTCTGTTTAGACACATTTACAGATGCATTAGTAGTCATCTCTGATTTGGCAGAGTCCCCTTCCACTAAGTATCTTTCTCCTAGACGTCTACCTATTTGGACGGCTGGGTTATTGGGACTTGTAACGAGAGTCTGCAGGAAACGTATGTTAGACTCAAATGGGAAGCATGAGAAATTGTCTAGGGGTCCGTGCTGTCGTACATCCTCACTAATATGAAGTAAGCCATGGATATTGTACACCATGTTATCCTCCCCAAATAATGACTGAAAGTTACCTACAAATTTCAACAATAAGTTTTTGACGTCATCTAGGTAATATGAAGAATAAGTTGGGTGACTTAAAATGTAGCATGCCAGGAATAAATCGAAGAAGTTATGATAAAAGCAAGGTGGCAATACGTCTTTCAGGTATACCACTCCTAAATATAAAAGAAACAGTCGGCACTCTGTTGCTTTCCGACGCTCAACGTCCTCTAATGTTCGACACTTACGCTGGAATTCAGAGGGAGCAGTCTAGAGTTAACAGTGTTTAAAATAGTATTATTCATACCATCTTCCCTAGCTGTGGCCTTCAATTTCCACAGGCCAATCAACTTTCGAACTACACCTAAGTATATGAGATGCATGCTGTCTAGAGGAAAAACAGTGATCATGTCGACATGCAATTTCTCGAATGGAGATTTACCCTTATGGTGACATTGTAACGTTTGCCTGCGAAAAGCCGTGTCTGTTCTTAAAGCGGCACATGTAGTAGGATAAACCATGCGATTATTTGCACGACGGCATACAGCCTCACATTTATCGCATCCTTGTGTTGAATTGTGACCGCTTATTTGCCTAACTAGTGCTCTCGCTGGTGTGTCACAGATGACGCCCTTAAGTACAATGTCAATGCGATGGCTGTTGGGTAATGTGATACCATTAGCACAAATGCATTCTAATTCGACTATAGTGTCCCTCAAAAAAGTGTGTATACTTGAAGGTTTACATGAACCACAGTAGACACCTACCAAGAATACCTTGTCGCAGCCAGACAAAAGTAACTTCCCTTGTATTGGCCACATCTGCAATTTGGAGTTGTTGAAAATTTGAGCACCATCAATGTTCAGCTGCAGACCAATTGGCACTGAGACTTCAGGTTTGAGAATTTGTAAGCGAGACAAAATCTGACGACGAAGGCCAATGTGAACATACATCCCAGGACCAACTGCTCTCCTTTGAAAAAAGTCTTCAGTCCTCATCAATGTCCGAGGGGCAGTCGGCAACTCAGGATGCAGGGACCTGAATTCTTCCAGCACAATACGAGTATTTGGCATATTCAGCTTGCATCGGTAGACAATGTTGCGAATAGCAAGAAATGAAAACACTCTTGATTTAATCCTTTGTCATGAAATAGAGCCCATCTCGATAGAGGTAGGAAATAAACTTGATAACAGCCATCACAACATATTGTACTGCACGCTACCCCTCCGACTAACAACTAAACACACACCTAAAAATTCCCCGGTGCACCATCAATATAGGGACTATAAGAATGCTGATTGGGAATTCCTATCAGATCTGTTGAGAAGTTGTGACTGGGAAGAATACTTCATCAACAATAACTTAGAAGTATCACTTGATATTTTCTACAAAACAATTGGCTCAGCAAGAGACACAATCGCGCCCCTAAAATCTGCTCTAAAGACACTAACTCCATTTATAGACCGCAAAACGCGACTAAAACTAAAGAAATTAAAAAGGAAATACCATGTATTTAAGGAATTTAATGCGTTAAACCAAATACATGAAACTCTTAAACGGCTTGAAGATAAACACAAAATGATGTCACAACTTGAAGAAAATAAAGCGCTTGTGGGTAACTCCAAAACTCAGGAACTTTGTAGGATATTGCAGAAACGCCTAAAAAGCAGTAAAGACAATACTGTAAGCAGCTTGGAACATAAGGGTATAATATATAATGATCCCCAGGTTATAAGTGAACTCCTCAATGAGTGGTTTTGGAATGACGCCAGAGTGCACCCGACCCAAAATTTCCAAATGACCTGCAAAAGTAACCACAAATTAGGCGAAATAGACTTTAATATACAAAATATAGACTCAGTGATTAAGACTTTGAAGTCTAATGGTAGTACTGGAACAGATGACATACCATCTGTCATATACAAAAATGGTAGCACGGAAATGGTAGTCTTGTTACTTAGAATATTTACTCTCTCGTTGGAAACTGGAACTTATCCTGAAGTGTGGAAAACCACATACATATTACCTAAGCACAAAGCAGGGGCCAAAACCAGTGTATGCAACTATAGACCTATCAATATAACACCGGTAATATCCCGAATAATGGAGAAAGTGGTTAAAGACCAAGTGTCAGATAACTTACTAGAACATGAACTTATCAATCCATCACAACACGGATTTCGTAAAAAAAGATCATATGTGACCTGTCACATAGACTTTTTCAACGAAGTTACACGAAGTAGGGACAACAGAGAACTAGTAATTGTACTATATTTCGACATAACAAAAGCCTTCGACAGAGTTCCCCATAATCTGCTAGTCAGCAGGTTATGCTCACTAGGGATATGTGATCCTCTCCTGAGCTGGATAAAATCATTTCTCTGTGGCCGAAGTCAAACAACGAAAGTTGGCTCGGTCTGGGCGCCCGGGCAGTATCTCAGCCCGCACACAATGAATGAATTGAAGCAACGAACTCTCATTGAAACTCAACGCGCGCTAGTAAAAATGATTCCAAGCAATACTGATCCCTCAAGCAACTTATTTCCTTCCTTGAGGGATCAGTATTGCTTGGAATCATTTTTACTAGCGCGCGTTGAGTTTCAATGAGAGTTCGTGGCTTCAATTCATTCATTGTGTGCGGGCTGAGATACTGCCCGGGCGCCCAGACCGAGCCAACTTTCGTTGTTTGACTTCGGCCACAGAGAAATGATTTTATCCAGCTCAGGAGAGGATCACATATCCCTAGTGAGCATAACCTGCTGACTAGCAGATTATGGGGAACTCTGTCGAAGGCTTTTGTTATGTCGAAATATAGTACAATTACTAGTTCTCTGTTGTCCCTACTTCGTGTAACTTCGTTGAAAAAGTCTATGTGACAGGTCACATATGATCTTTTTTTACGAAATCCGTGTTGTGATGGATTGATAAGTTCATGTTCTAGTAAGTTATCTGACACTTGGTCTTTAACCACTTTCTCCATTATTCGGGATATTACCGGTGTTATATTGATAGGTCTATAGTTGCATACACTGGTTTTGGCCCCTGCTTTGTGCTTAGGTAATATGTATGTGGTTTTCCACACTTCAGGATAAGTTCCAGTTTCCAACGAGAGAGTAAATATTCTAAGTAACAAGACTACCATTTCCGTGCTACCATTTTTGTATATGACAGATGGTATGTCATCTGTTCCAGTACTACCATTAGACTTCAAAGTCTTAATCACTGAGTCTATATTTTGTATATTAAAGTCTATTTCGCCTAATTTGTGGTTACTTTTGCAGGTCATTTGGAAATTTTGGGTCGGGTGCACTCTGGCGTCATTCCAAAACCACTCATTGAGGAGTTCACTTATAACCTGGGGATCATTATATATTATACCCTTATGTTCCAAGCTGCTTACAGTATTGTCTTTACTGCTTTTTAGGCGTTTCTGCAATATCCTACAAAGTTCCTGAGTTTTGGAGTTACCCACAAGCGCTTTATTTTCTTCAAGTTGTGACATCATTTTGTGTTTATCTTCAAGCCGTTTAAGAGTTTCATGTATTTGGTTTAACGCATTAAATTCCTTAAATACATGGTATTTCCTTTTTAATTTCTTTAGTTTTAGTCGCGTTTTGCGGTCTATAAATGGAGTTAGTGTCTTTAGAGCAGATTTTAGGGGCGCGATTGTGTCTCTTGCTGAGCCAATTGTTTTGTAGAAAATATCAAGTGATACTTCTAAGTTATTGTTGATGAAGTATTCTTCCCAGTCACAACTTCTCAACAGATCTGATAGGAATTCCCAATCAGCATTCTTATAGTCCCTATATTGATGGTGCACCGGGGAATTTTTAGGTGTGTGTTTAGTTGTTAGTCGGAGGGGTAGCGTGCAGTACAATATGTTGTGATGGCTGTTATCAAGTTTATTTCCTACCTCTATCGAGATGGGCTCTATTTCATGACAAAGGATTAAATCAAGAGTGTTTTCATTTCTTGCTATTCGCAACATTGTCTACCGATGCAAGCTGAATATGCCAAATACTCGTATTGTGCTGGAAGAATTCAGGTCCCTGCATCCTGAGTTGCCGACTGCCCCTCGGACATTGATGAGGACTGAAGACTTTTTTCAAAGGAGAGCAGTTGGTCCTGGGATGTATGTTCACATTGGCCTTCGTCGTCAGATTTTGTCTCGCTTACAAATTCTCAAACCTGAAGTCTCAGTGCCAATTGGTCTGCAGCTGAACATTGATGGTGCTCAAATTTTCAACAACTCCAAATTGCAG